TGTGTGTGTGTGTGTGTGTGTGTGTGTGTGTGTGTGTGTGTCTGTTCGTTATAGTAAAAAACTTTTAGAAACACTAATTGGACAAAACCTTTGAAAAAGTAATAATCAGACATACATTTACAACTGATTTATTTTTGGAGTTAACCCATTAGCTAATCAATATTAGCCTGCACTAAAAAGTTTATAACTCAGTCGAGCCTAGAAATAATAGACTATAATTTGGTGTGGTAGTAGCTGAGTCATTCCCAACTCATATTGTCACTATCAAATGATAATGTACATAATATTCCTTTCAAAGTTTTAATTATTTTTCACCATAACACGACTGTGTTCCAAAATTTTTAGCTTATTATTCAGCATATCTGTTTAAAATCTGTTTTAAAAAAGTCCAGACCTTCAACAGCAGACATTTTTTATCACTTTGGCTCAAACATCAACTGAATCCTTCCATGCTGGACATCAGCTGATGTTATTTCTGCTCTTAGGGCCCTGATGATGGTGTAGAACTGTGCGGTGTGAAATGCATGTGGGAGCTGGAGGTGTAGAAATGTGCCGTGTGTCCTGGTCACAGTGTTCCCTACTCTCTACCGGTCACTCAGCAAGAGAGTTCCTGTGGGCAGAGTGAGAGAGCATCACACTCTGCCCACACGTTTGTCCTCCAAACGCCACAGTCATCATCGTTTAAAGTTTCTGCTGCAGAACATGAGGAACATAAGCACTGGTCTCAAACTGCACACACTGTCTGTGTGGGGGGAACACTGACTGCTCCATCACTTTTCTGAGGTGGTTATTGGGGTTGCTCTCAAAGCCACAAAAGTGATTGTTGGTGTTTTTTTTAGAATATCTGTAAATTGTTGACTTGGATTTGAAAATGACAAGACATCTCAACAAAATATTAAGCTTTTACAGTCGTTTCTTTCCCCAGCCATGACTTTGTGAAGAACACCATAGGAGGTAAAAGTGACTTCTGTAAACAAACAAGTTTTATTTTTATGAAATAAATAATAAACTATATAAAGTCAATGAACCAAAACAATTTATTTGAGATTTAATTAAAAACAGAAATACCTGAAACACTGTAT